CTACTCCACACAGCCCCTACTCCACACTGCGCTACTCCACAAAGCTCCTACTCCACACTGCACTACTCCACATGGGAGGCGGGATCTAGCTATAGCAGTGCTCAGTAGAAGGCGTGAATATAGACAGCCACAGGTTTTTGATTTATCCAACCAGCTGAGGGCTGTACTTGAGCACATGGCAACTTACATGCAGTGTTATCTACACATAAGACAGAAATGGTCTATGGTTTGGAAATTTCTGGAATTTCAGAAACATTAAAAACAGTTTTCACTTATGGTGGCTAAAATATGCATTTCTGACATATTTTCCTTAAAATACATAAATTATAATTAATTTGGATCTAATCTGTGTTTATGGTCTCAACATTAACAAAAATAACTATAATGCTTAACCTAGGTCTTCTAGTGTCTTAGCTTTCTCCATACAATTTTTCCTAATCACAGATCAAGCTAACTTTATAAAAAAAAGAGAAAAAATGATCACATATAATCATAAAATTCAGCATCACGAAGGATAAGACAAGCAAGTAATCTATCTAATAGTGGTTTCCCAGGAGATCAATTAAATGTGAACAAAGACATCCTTTTGTAGCTTCAAACTTTCTCCTCTCAAATGGCTCAAATGATGCAGCAAACGGCAGGCCATGAAACACTTCTGCTACCACAGTGATTATCAGCCAGGGTGCTTTGAGAGGATCTTAGGTGTGCCACAGACATTTTTAATGGTCATTCATTCAGGGAGGCGCCCATGGCTCAAAGGAGTAGCCAGCCCCACATACTGAAGGTGGCAGGTTCAAACCCAGCCCCAACCAAAAAAAAAAAAAAAAAGTGATCATTCATTCATTCAACTGTTTTTAAAATACATTCAAAGTGCAGTAAATATATTCTTTCTTTTTTTACTTTTTTTTTTTTAATCAACATAATTTAAGTGGGCCATGGAAGTTTAACTGTAGGTTCAAGTGTGCTATGAGATAAAAAAGATTGAAGAACACTGGTCTACCATCCTTGGAAAGCCATGTCAAAGCCGTGTTTGCATCCTTTTTTTGGTCTTGCTCTTGACTCTTCTGGGTCAGGATGAGTGCGATCATTGTCAGGGTTTTTCCTAAGCCCATATCATCCGCTGGGAAAATAAAAGCAAAATGAAGAGAGCTGATTAGTGAGGGCAAAGAATCAACCCAGCTTCAAGAGAAGAATCACTGCAGACATTCACCTCTTGTTCTCATTTTCCACTGTCACTGCTCTTCCAGTCACTATTTCTTTTTTTTTTTTTGAGCCAGAGTCTTACTTGCTGTCTGGGCCAGAGTGCACTGATGCCACCATAGCTCAAATGATCCCCCTGCCTCAGTCTTCCAAGTAGCTAGAACTATAGGCACCTACCATCAAACCCAACTAATTTTCCTCTTTTTTATAGGGCCTCACTACATTGCTCAAGCTGCTCTTGAACTTCTGGCCTCAAGCAACCTTCTTGCCTTGGCCTCCCCAAGTGCTTGGATCATAGGTGCAAGCTACTGTGCCCAGCCCCACTCACTATTCTGCACCTACCTCGATGATTTCTTCATCTTCTTGACTAAAATGAACCCTAGGCTCTTGCTATTTATTTTGAGACCTAAGTCAAAGACACTTGCTGCAATTCTTGTAAAATTTAAACTTGCAATTTGGACCTTATTCTAGTGTCTGTGCTCCACTGTTACCTGTGCAGTGTGCTGACTGGTATGTATTCCAGTTTGATGGTGCTACCTATTCTTTTTATCTGTTACCTACAAAAGCAAAAAAAAGAAAAGCCCAGTAATACTATTTACTTTACTGGTGCTATCACATTTCTAGAGTTAAAGGAGTTAACTCAGAACAGTCCTCCATTCTCTTAACTTATTCATCAAAGAAGGATATAAATCAACATCTCTCCGGCACTGTCCCAGCATCAGTCACTGAGTTTATCTGATTTATTACTCATACCCATAGAGCTCTATTATCCTCACTTTAACAGATTACGACACTGAGAATCAGTCAGTAGGCTACTACACTCATTCAAAGCAATCATTCTGACATAGCAAAACTGAAATGGGATCTGGTTCAAACTCTGGCTCTGCCACTGTGCAGAGCTCACAAATCAAGCCCGTGGGTCTGTCTGCTGTCCTCTGAAAGGCCTGCCGACAGGACCCTTGGCTAGCATCTGGGAATTCAGATTTAGCAGGGGTTCTCATCGTTTCGGAACCGGTAAGGGTGGTGCACTCTGGCTAAACTACTTGTACAAACGACATGGCTCCTATTTCGTACACCTAATTCCCTTTGTGAGTGGAGATCCGGCACCGCCCAAGCTAAAGCTGCCTATGTAAGCCGCCCAAGTAAAAACCTTGGGCAGTGAACCTCTAGAGAGCTTCCTTGGTTGGAAACATTGTGTAACTGTTGTGACAACTCACTGCTGGGAGAATTAAGAATGTCCCATGTGGCTCTACTGGGAGAGGACTCTGGAAGCTTGATCCTGGTTTCCTCTGGATTTTGTCCCATGAGTCTTTTCCTTTGTTGATTTTGATCTCTAACCTTTCACTCTATTACAGCTGTGAGTCTGATGACACGCTTTGAGTCCTACCAGCAAATCATTGAACCTAGAGGTGGTCATGGTGACCCTTGATGATGTAGTCACTTATTCTGAGTTGCCTGGCAAGTCTCCAGCGCTGAGAAGAAAATCTGCTTCCCACCTTCTGCATAGCGTAGGCACTGGCAACACGACCAGGCTCTAGACATCCGATGTGCTCACCGAAGACTTTCTCTCAAATGTAAGCACCATTAGGAAAGAGATTCCCTGTGCAATCCTTCCTGCAGGAAGGGTGGAGACAGAGGCAGCTGACTTTGGGATGGGGCACCAGTACCTCTGGTGCTTGGTGGCATAACAAAGCTATGATGCTTTTCATGGAACACTCAGTTTGTGACTTAGCTGTGGCCGTTGTCCTAGAAATTTGGCCTCCAGCCTGGCACTCCACATCTTTCAGAGATTCTGGCCACCAAAGAATAAACTCCTCCTCTGCTTAATCACCAGAGACACCTTCTACTGTCTGCAACCAACACCTCTGAGCCCACAGCTGTGCACCGTGGGGCAAGTTGCTTAACATTTGTCTCAGTTTCTTTCCCTGTAAAATGGGGAAATACATTCTATGCCTGCCTCAGAGCTGTTGAGAGGACTGAATGAACCTACGACACTTTTAGGAAAGCGCCCAAGCATTCAACAGCCGTTGGCTCTTAGCGTGACACCAGACTTACCCAGAATTCCTCCTCGTGGCTTCTGACTCTCCCGCCACAGTAACCACGCTAATGCCTGCTTCTGGTGCAGCAGCAAGGGGACCTGGCAACGGCGAGAACCAAAGGTGAAGGGTAAACGCCTGATGAGAGGCCACGCGGCTCTGCACGCTGCTCCTTTACCAAGTGATCTCAGTGCTCTAGGTGTCCTCACATCAACTGCCCATTTCACCTTGAAATTCTAATTGCATCCTCTCACCTAAGCCATATTGTGTCCTGATCTACCTGAGTTTATGTCTAATGTTCAGCATTTCTATTAAGAACCTCTCCTCCCCCGGATCAGTGACCGGATCCTAAGTTGGAGTCCCAGTCTGTCTGCTCGCAACCAAGACCTCTCACTGGTCACCCTTCCTTCACCTAAGTGCTAGGATTACAGGTGCGAGCCGCTCTGGTGGCTTTTCCTCATCCCTCTCTTCTCTGCAGCCAACATCCATCCTCATTGCTAGTCATAAATTTCAATAACTCTCTAACTGGAGAACCCCTTCTGGTCCTTTTATATTCTAGTTTATCCAAGAGTCTATGAAAAAAAACTAATTTTCATTAGCCATCCCTGCTCAAATGCTACCGTGATTCCACATTATCTCCTGGATATTCCGTCCTAATTCTTCACCAATGCCAGGCTCACAGAGAGCCCTCCTACTCCACAACATCACCGGCCACTCTGCTCAGGGACAGATGACACCCGATCATCACGTCCACACCAGGCTCTGTATCTTCTCTCTGATCACCACTGCCTCTAACTGCAGTGTTTGGTCTCTATCCTCTGTGCCCTCAAGGCTCGCAGTTTCCCTCAGATACATAGGGAGGCAGTGTCTAAGTCCTGACCTAGACTGATGCCTCCTTTACTTTGAATCCCTTTGGTACTTTGTATACAGACTGGAGTACATTACAAGGCACATTTACGTCCATCTTGAAGTCACTTTCTAATAGTTTTATATATGTTGTATAAGCACTTAAACTCCAATTAGTTCTTTTTTTTTTTTTTTTAGACAGAGTCTCAAGCTGTCGCCCTGGGTAGAATGCCATGACATCATCATAGCTCATAGCAACCTATAACTCTTGGGCTCAAGCAATCCTCTTGCCTCAGTTTTTTCTATTTTTAGTAGAAACAGGGTCTCATTTTTTTGCTCAGATTGGTCTCAAACTCATGAGCTCAAGCAATCCACCTGCCTCAGACTCCCAGAGTGCTACGATTACAGTGATGAGCCACCGCATCCAGCCCCAAATAGTTCTTTAAAGCAGCAATTCTTTTGGAACCTGTAACTTTATGATTTTTTACAAAGTGTTGTTTTTTTGTTGTTGTTGTCTGCAATGCTAAATACAAAAGGAGAAAACACGGCAAGCACCTATCTGTAGAAAAGATGTATAAGATTGGGAGTCTGTGGGACACGTTGATGGTGGTTGGCTCCCTTTAGGGCCGCGGGGGCACTGCTGTGGGAGACTGCGCCCCGCTCACCTTCCCTGCTCACCTTCAACCCAGCCGGGTCTTCTGCCACAGCTGTCTCAGCAGGACAGGACTCAAGTGACCGGTGCAGCTCATCGATGGCTTTAACTGTGACTTTCCACACTGCATGAAGGCGATCTTGGCTTGTATAATCTGCGTACAAATAAATGTTACTTAAAAGATGTCACAAGTATTATGTCCTGGCTAGAGCTGCAAAAGGGCAATTGTTAGTCAGAGGATGGATCTGAATGAACTAAAAATTCTTATTTCTGGATTCACCCAGTCTCACAGGCTCCTCTCTCCCCATTCTCAGTTGTTGGTTTTTTTTTTAAATGGCACAAACAATTATTATAGGACAAAATAATAGAAAGTATAATGAAACAGGGAATTCATAATATTTTTGGTAGGGTTTCTTTTTTATTTTTAGCTTTGAAGAGGTGGCCAAGAAAAAGGCAACATTGCCCAGGATTTTAGGACGAAAAGATCCTGGTGGTGGATGCGAAGAAGAAAAGAGAGAGAGAAAGACCCAGCTGGAGGCCATCTGGTGAAGTTTAGGTAGACGGGGAGACAGGACGCTGTTACTGCAGCCGTGAGCTGACCACACCCTGCACTGGGAAATTCTCGGCATTTCCCGCTCTGTCCTCAGACAGCACCACCCAAGTTAAGGACCACAGGCACCTCAGCGGTCTGGAATTTTAGAGATGGAGCATCCCCAGTAAGAAGCTTCTAGACAAATGAAAACTGGGCCAGGGCCCTGGATCTCACCTCCACGGCAGTGACCGGATCCTCTGGCAGTCACCTGGCAGGCGGCCATCAGTCCCAGAGAACCTGCAGGTGGGGCCCCATGACCCAGAAGGGGTTGAGCAGGCACCAGGTGGGGAGGCTCAGTGGCAGTTTTGGTGAAGCTACTCCGTTGTGGTGCTTCACTGTTACTCTTCTGATCAATTTCTGCTCAAAAAACAAGGGAAGAATAGATTCAAGTTCAGCAAAGTAAATGAAAGGACCATTTGTGTGGAGGGGAGGGCTACAGAGACTGTGATTATCACCATTCCAGCAGCTGAAGGCTTCCTAGAGAACCTGGCATTTTAACAACTTAGACAATGGGAAAGAGAGCTTAGTCCATGGGAAATAAGGGCAAGTTTTTTAAAAGCATGGGTTTAATTTAAAAGAAGCACAGAAACAAATAATACATGTATAAAATGGAAAGGTGAATCAATCAACACCTTCCTCATCCAACGGCCCCCCAGCTGTCCCTGTGAAGTTCATGGGCCCTGAGTTCCAAGGCACAGCCTACTTCACCTGGCTCCGGGGAGAGGGCGAGAGCGCTCAGTGCTTCCTCCAACCCCTGGATCTGCTCCAGAAGCTTCTGGCCCTTGTCTGGAAGAGCCTGGATGTTCACCGATGCCAGTGTGCTCTGAAAAACAGAGCCTACATGGATCTCTCCTGTCAAGTTGTTAAAAGGGTAGTTTCCAGTTAAACTAATCTATAAAGACAAAACTCTGAAATTATGGTCCTTTTGGGGGGTGGAGGGAGCATGAGGAGAGGACAGAGTCTTGCTTTGTTGCCTAGGCTAGTGTGCCATGGCCTCAGCCTAGCTCATAGCAACCTCAAACTTTTGGGCTCAAGTGATCCTCCTGCCTCAGCCTCCTGAGCAGCTGGGACTACAGCTACAGGGGCCCTTCACAAGCCCAGCTAGTTTTTCTATTTTTAGTAGAGAAGGGGTTTCAAGCTTGCTCAGGCTGGTCTTGAACTTCTGAGTTCAAGCAATCCATCTGCCTTGCCTCCCAGAATGCTAGGATTACAGGTGTGAGTCATCATAGTAGGCCTGGAAATTAGAATCTTTAACTGGCACTTTTTCCCAACCCAGTTGGCTTACCAATCCTAAAAATGTAAGCAAAGGAAAAGCAGAAAACGCCCACCCACAAAAATCTCCACAGGAGCACGTTGACCTCTCTCCTGGGGTCTCCTAACTGCCCACACAAGCAATGCTCCGACCCTAAGAACAAAACACAGGCCTACAGTTACCTTCTTCTGTTTCAGCTGTGTGGTGAGGTATGCACGCTGGGCTGCTGGGTCTGAGGGCTCGGCCTTCCTGGAAACACCCGAGACAGGAGGTATTTTTTTCTGCACACTCTGCTCAGGGAGGGGAAGGTTCTTCTTCTTCTTCTGTGAGTCCACAGGGGAGTCAAAGAGTAGGGGGCTCCCCGGCGTGGAGGAAACAAGAACAACATCATCGTCCTCACTGTCACTACTGCTGGTGGCAGCGTCCCGCCTCTCACCCAGGTAGAGCTCTGGAGCTGCTGGTGCAGCCTCTGCCGCTGCTGCTTCGCAGGCAGGGACACCCCGAGGCTCCGGCTGTGTCCCAGGATGGCCCTGTGGCGGGATGGTCTGCGAGCCAGTGTCAGTCCCCACCTTCGTGCCTTTAGCCTCCCTGTTCTTGAGCTGCTCCTTGCTGAGGTGCCCCCCCTTCTGGGGCTTGCCTACTGGGTCCTGACTATGAACACTTTGAGGCAAAAGCTGGGTTTTCTTTCCTCCCAGAGGCTCCGGCTGTCTGAGGGCATCTTGACTCTTCCCATTTGATTTCTCCCGCGCAGAGGCAGACGACTTCAGCTGACTGCCGTGGCAGTGTCGGGACTTCACGTCAGGGAAGTTCCCTTTGTGTGTGTTGTCAGCCTCCCTGCCTTCACGCTGAAACTCGGCTCTCTCCTCTTGCTTCTTCTCTGCCACTACAGATTGTTTTTTCTTGATCGCCAGGCCGGAAGAGAGCTCTTTCCCTAGCCGGGAGTTAGATCCCGGATTCTGTTCCTTCTTTTGGCTAAAGAGCTGATCGCCACTTTCCCTTTGCTTCTTGTCAGCCATCCGTCCCTCACCTTCTCCTCTGGTGAGCTGTTTCCAGAAAGCTGGTTCTTGGTTCTTGTCCAGTACCTTGAATGGGTTTCTCAGCTGGCTGGAAGGGTGAGGAAAGGGCTCTGATGCATGCTGAGGCTTACTGGTCACAGAATGTTCTCTGGAATCAGGATCCTAAAGATGATGGAAATCATTAATCTTAATATAAAATACAATGCAAAGAAAAATTCCCATCTGGAATGCCTTTTTTTGGGGGGGGGGGTGGAAACACAATGAAAGAAGCCCAATATTTCTGAACATACCCGTTATCAATTCCATATCTAGAAAAGACCATCTGCCAAACTCACAAAGTATTTGCATTTTAATAGTACTTTTTTTGTTCTTGAGACAGAATTTTACTTTGCCACCCCTGGCAGAGTGCCATGGTGTCATAGCTCCAGTGATCCTCTTGCCTCAGCCTCCCAAGTAGCTGCGACTATAGGCATGGGCCACAATGCCTGGCTAGTTTTAGAGACGGGGTCTCAAGTCTTGCTCAGGCTGGTCTTGAACTCCTAAGCTCAGAAGATCCCCCCTCCTTGGCCTCCCAGAATGCTGGGATTACAGGCCTGAGTCACCACAACTGGCTGTTTAATAGTACTTTTAATACTTGGTTCTTTCTTTTCCCAAGTTCATGCTTATCCAGGCCTCAGGGAAAAGTAGTGACCAGAACAAAGTGCTTTTACAATCATAACAGCCATGATGTATACTTTTCAGGAAAAACTATTCTCTCAAAATGGAGTTTTCTCCAAACCTAAATGTTGCTGCCCCACTATGCTGGCTTTGATTTTGGTGTTAGGAAGATCTCACTGCGGGAATCTAGAATCTTAAGTCAGGTCACATCTCTGCCAAAACAAGTCTCATCCATGCCTAGGTCTAGTTCTCACCTAGTAAATATCTGAGGGGTTTCTCCTAATGCTAACATTCTAGGAGCTTAGGAATTATACTTATCGTCTACTAATGTCAGCAGATACTGGTCTATAAAAAGATACTGAAATTAGTCAAAGCAATCTAATTTCTTCCTAACGGGAGAATACTGATTGCACTTAAGACTATGTAAAATATTTAAGTAAAATAAGAAGCCAGTAATTAAATATTGAACATAACCAAATGGTCCTTTAAATTAAAAATTTCAACAGAGTCTGGCACGCTTCAGGAAACCTTACCTTTCAGAGATAATTTGATAAAGACCAACAAATTCATGTGGGCGTCAAGGTCTCTTCAGGCGATGCTGCATATTAAACAGTCTTAACATAGCAGATTTGAAAACAGGTGAATAATTCCTACCTGCCAGGGAACGCTTCCACACCAGTGTTTCCCTTCTGCCTTACTTCTGATGCATCGGAAGAACAATCTAGCGAAGTATAAACACAAATAATCAAGGCTGTGAAAATCCATTAAGACAACAGATTAAGTTTATTTTTAATCTGAAACACATTACGCAACTATTTGGTACTGGCTTTGCAAGGCTGCGTGAAACCATTTACGTGTGCATTAAAAAATTCTTCACTGTACAGGATGCCTATAAAGGCTGGGAACTCAAATAAGGACTAGATGAGGACAAAAGGGTGCAGGCAAGTTTATTCCTTTTACCCGTAAAGCACGAATGAAGTGGAAACACGCTCAGCAGTAGGTACTAAACCAGAAACACCGAGATAACCAGACTGCACATGTCCTTAATGGGGGCCACAATCACACCTGTAAAGTAACCAAGCCAAGACAGAACAAACAAAAATCTAACCTGAATCTGGTCAAACCTCTATATCCAATTACCAATTTATAGGAAATAGAAACAACAGAGGAACACACAGAAGTAGCCCATGGGAGTGTGATCTGTAAAGTGTTGGCTGGGAAGTGCCATAGACAAAGACCCTGAATCCTTCAACACGTAAGTTACGAGGGAGGAAAAAAGAGAGAGGGCAAACTTAAGAAACTTAAAAGACACATTAGTCAATTCCAATTTGTGGATCTTATTTAGATCCTGATTTAAACAAAGAAACAAAAAATCCAAAGAAACCTAATTCTGACGTTTAAGATCACCCTTGCTTGCCTGTCCTTCTGCTGTGCGCGCAGCAGCACCACGCGTGCACCTGCCTGTCTACCTGACGCTATTTTTGCCGAGTAGAACAGTGATTTTCAACCATGTCCCTGGAAAATTTTTACTAATCAAATTATTTTTGAAAGACCTTCAAAGCACATTCTTTTTTACTTTCTTGGGGGGCGGGGGAATCAACATAATTTAACTGTGCCGTGGAAGTTTAACTACAGGATCAGCTGTGCCATGTTGTCCAACAGACGGCTGGATGGTAGCCACACATGACCTCTGTCTTCCCAACCGCACCTCCCTGTGTAGAAGTCCTGCTACCTGAGATGGAACGGATTGATCTTTCTATTGCCTAAGATGACATCTCAAAACTTTTAATCTGTTAAAGAACTTTTACAAAATGCATCTTATTTGTTGAAACAGGTAATGTACTCAACCAGCAGACAAAAAAAGACGGTGAAAACCGCCCCCATTTCTATCCGCCCAGCTTAACTCCCTCCAAACACGTAGGTGACCGTACTTATTAGGGTTTTGTTTACCTTTCTAGAGATTTTAAAATGCATATACAAGTCAATATAAACATAGTCTTTATTTTTTTCCTCTTCTACACAAATGGGTTGCAAAACGCACACACTACTAAATACTTTCCTTCTCTTTTTTTACTTAGCAAATGCCGTAAAGGTTTTTCTGTAAGAGCATACACATGAAGAGTTTCTTGTGTTCTTTTATTTCACTGCAGTTGCAGGGTTCTCCACTATATATGCATGTCGTATTATCTTTAACCAGACTCTCTTGTTAGACAGGTCGGCTGTTCCCAGCCCTTTCCTGCTCACAGCAGCGAGCAGCGGCAAGGTGAAGGAAACAGCCTAGTACATGGGCCATTTGACACACATCTCAATGGTCTGCGTGTGACTCTGTTGTTCACCTTGTGTGTTTGTGCCTTCTCTATGCTTCTTCATCAGGTTAATTCCTAGATTTTTATTTATTAGTTCTCCATTCCTTCCTGCTGCTTTCCTTCAGTTTAATTTCTTGTTCTTTTGCTAACTTTTTTTTTCAGAGGGGGAGCAGAGTCTCACTCTTGTCACCCTGGGTAGAGTGCCCTAGCGTCACAGCTCACAGCAACTTCAAACACTTGGGCTCAAGTGATCCTCTTGCATCAGCTTCCCGAGTAGCTCAGATTACAGGCACCTGCCACAATGCTCAGCTAGTTTTTCTACTTTAAGTAGACAAGGTCTCACTTTTGCTCAGGCTGCTCTTGAACTCCTGAGCTCAGGCGCTCCACTCCCCTCGGCCTCCCAGGTGGTAGGATTACAGCTGTGAGCCACCACACCCGGCCCTTTTGCCAGCTTCTCAGTCACGTGATATGCGGTGTGCCTCCGGAGAGGGTGAATCCTGATTCTGAGAAGCCCGAGCAGGTCCCACCCTCTCAATACCAAGACTTCACCTGGATATGGAAGTAAAGATGAACAAGCCACAGACGAGCACATATTCCATAGAAGTTAACCTAAAAAGAAAATAGGTCCAGCCCCCCCCATACAAACTCGCAGTTTTCCCATCCGAGCTCATGATTTTCAAAATTACTGGTCTCTTTAATTTTTCTCAATGCAGTGGGATATTATATTGAATATGTGCAATACAATTTCTGAAATGGTTTGAATGCATAAAATTGAAAGTACCAGCTACTACTAGGGGATACTGCTACAACTTATAGAAATAAATTAAGAACAACTTAACATTACACTGTTGACAGTGTTTCAAATACTTGAAGTCTTTAGGGAGAGACTATTTCCTAAGTGCAGTTGTGTGCTACGTGACACTTCCATCAACAACAGACTGCATGCGACCACCGTCCCCTAAGATTATAACACCGCATCTTTACTGCACTCTTTGTTTAGATACACAAATACTTCACACCGTGTGTTAACTGCCTGCAGAATTCCACACAGTAACACACTGCATGGTTTGTAGCCGGGGCGTGTCCGAGGCTACAGCGGACAGGCTGATGTCAGTTCACTCTGAGCCGTTCCCACAAGGACGAAATCGCTGTCCCTGTCATTAAGTAACTCATGACGGGAGCGTCTATTTCAAAGGCCAACTCATGTAGACTTTTGGAAGAAGGGCACGACCGAGAGAAAGATGGAAGGAAACCCGGTCAGCACCAGCTGGGTGGAAGGCACATGCTAAGAATGCTTTCACGTACATGTTTAATTAAAACCAATCTGGACAGGTTCCTCTACTGTGTGTTTTTTTAGTTTGGTATAGAATTTTTTTTAATTAAAAAAAATTTTTTTTTATTACAAACTAATATCAGGGTACAGATGTTTAGGTTACATTGTTTTCAATCCTAAGGTAAAGTTCAAGTTGTAGTTAAGCCCTTGCCTAGAAGGTATGTCTCTCCCTCCTCTCTCCTCTCCCCCTTGCTAGACTATATTTGTGTTTTTTCTTTCCTGGGGACATGTGCTTGTTTATATACTGGTTTCATGTTAGTATTGATTGTTGATTACATTGGGTATTTTGTTTTCCATTCTGGGTCCTCTGTTTTTAGGATGAAAAGTCACTGTTTGTTATCTTTATCACATTGTAAATCAACAAAGAAAGCAGTGAAAATACATTTTCCCTGAGAAAGCAACTATTAATTCCACTGCAAAGAAGAGCATAATTTCTGTAATCCCTTGACTAATTCTTTTTCGTGACAGAGGTTAAAAACAACAGCAATGAAGAAACTAGCCAGAGGAAGCCAGACCTCTTCAATCGTATCTTCTTCCCCAGAAGACAAATCCTCTGTCCAAGCCAGCATCACACTGCCAAGCACAAGGACTTTGGCAGACTGAGATCCTCTCAGGCCCCAACAGGGCTGTCCGACTTTTTATTTCTCTGTCACACAATGGAAGAAGAGTTGTCTCGGGACACACATTACACAAACACTGATTAGCAAGAAGGTCCCTGCATACTTTTCATGGTATCCGACACCATGGATAAGCAAAAAAAGTCCTCACAAAATCAGCATGCCCTCAGGCAGCAGGTTGAACAGCACTGAAAACTATCTGCCCTTGGTTCGAATCCCAGCTCCTCCACAGAATTAACAGTTGTGAAACACTGGACACCTAACTTGACTGCTCTCCAGTGGCAGTTTCCTTTTCTGTAAGATGGTAAAATAATACATATCTCATATGGTCATTATGAAGATTAAATATCTTACCATGTGTAAAGATAAAACAATCAGAACAAAGTCTGATACACATCAAGGACATACTCGATACGGAACCGGGAGCTTACTCTTGCCAACCACCTGCTTTGCCTACAACTACACTTCTGCTTACGCTCTGCCTGAACACTTCCTTGTATCTTCCTCCATCAATATTTTAAAGTTCAAGGCTAGGCGAGGTGGCTCGTGCTGTAATCCTAGCACTCGGGGAGGCTGAGGAGGGTAGACTGCCTGAGCTCATGAGTTTGAGACCAGCATGAACAAGTGCAAGACCCCATCTCTAAAAATAGCTGGGTGTTAAGGCAGGTGCCTGTAGTCCCAGTTACTTCAGAGGCTGAAGCAAGAGGATCGCTTGAGCCCAAGAGTTTGAGGATGCTGTGACGTTACGGCACTCTACCCAGGGTGACAAAGTGAGATTCTGTCTCAAAAACAAACAAACAAACAAACAAAAAAAGACCAAGTTCAAGCCTCAACTCCTTTATTTTCTTAGTAACTTTCTTAATCTCTCACGGTGGGTCTCGAAGTCACAGAACCATTTGGTCTCTGAACACATTAATGTAGCACTTTCCACACAGGTGGGACTCCTGCTCCATCTTAGTAAGTCTAACTTGAAGCCAATTTTGGCACAGGGCCTTGGGGGAATATGAGGTCACGTTTTTATAAGCTCCACCAACGGAAAAACAGAAAGCTGGATTTCTACTTCATTATTTTACACTAGAATTCAAGATGGAGGAAAACATATAAAAAATAAATAAATGTTCTAAGAAAACACAAAAGATGAATATTTTTGAAATCCTGAAGTATAGAAGTGAATCCTAAAGCTGAGAGATAAAAAATTTCGTAATTTTATCTACATAAGTTTTAAATTTTCATATGGTAAAAAGAGCATGATGAAAATACCACAATCTTCTGAATGGTGAAGATTTATTTGTTATAAAAAATAAAATTTCACATCCCACCACAAAATAATGAAAATATGTTACATCCAGTTTAGGCAAAGGAATATTTCTATTTAATTTGACCCCATATCCTCAAAAATAAAAGCTCTGGCAAAGAGAGAAGGGAGAGCATGAACTCAGGAGCTTGACGGCAAGGGTCAACATTT